AGTGTAGCAGTGGTGAATGTTTGGTATAGAAAGTGTAGCAGTGGTGAATGTTTGGTATAGAAAGTGTAGCAGTGGTGAGTGTGTTAGCTGTGACAGTGGATGAATTCAGTTTGCCAGTGTTATAAAAACCAAACTTGAGACAGAGGGGTTGTGGCATCACATATTGTGTTATGTGTGACAAAGCTAACTATAAAGGTGTCACAGTGTTGGATGCGTTGGCTGTGACATTACATATTGTGTTAGGTGTGACAAAGCTTACTATAAAGGTGTGGCAGTGTTGAATGTGTTGGCTGTGACAGTGTTGGATGTGTTGGCTGTGACATAACATATTGCGTTTGTTGCGACAAAGCTTAGTGTGGAAGTGATGAGTGTGTTAGATATGACAAGCTGTTGTACTGTAGTGTGACACTGGACCGCATGAGGAACAGAAATAAATGTGACATTGTGTTTGGTGTGACAAAATAATGTAACAGTTTGGTGTGAATTCTATGATATAAGCCACCATAGAAGAGTGCTTAAAGCAACATAATATTCAGTGCATAATCAAGAAACCTCTGGTGTATTTGGAATGAAAAATTAACTCAAGTTAAAGGTAATTGTCTCAAGTGCTATATTATATATTCACTGTGAGAAGTTATAACAGAAATAAAATCAGGGCAAAAAAAAATTCCACACACAGACACTTACCCCAAGAGGTTTGCAGTTGTTTTTCACATATCTTCCTGGTTCACTTTTCTCATTCCAGTCTAACTGGCCATGATAGAAATACTTCTGTTTTCTTCAAAGAGACAGAACAAATGTGGGGTGAGCAAGCAATCATGCAAGATTAATACCTGGAGCTGTGTGGGTAGCAGTTCTGTTTGACCATTGACAAGGTTAATTGCTCACTTTATACCGTTTTTTTTTTCCCCGTTAATCCCTCCTACACTTTTTTTCAGACGTGCGAGTGACTTTTGAAAAGATTAAAATAAAACTAATGCAAAAATGATTTTGCATATTTATTGACTTGAGAGTAAAAAAGATTTCCGATAAAAGAAGGAAAAAAATCTTTATAATTTTCTATGTACGTCAATATCAAACAGCCTAAACAAAATTTCCCCTCCATTTTTTCTGATAAAAAAATTCAATAATTCAATTTGTTCAATACCATAATTTTAATATGATAGCAAAGATTGAAACAGAAGGCCTGTCAATGTAAAAACAGAACTCTGACCCTTACAGGTCCCAGCTCGACCTAGCTAAGGGTTCTGGGATATATATATCTTTCCCATCCAACTGGAGCATGCATACCTCACACTCTGAATGTGCATGCATGCACGCACACACGATGGGTGTGAGGGAGGCAGCTTACTTACATATAAGGCCCTGNATCCTCCCTCCTACACTTTTTTCAGACATGCGAGTGACTTTTGAAAAGATTAAAATAAAACTAATGCAAAAATGATTTTGCATATTTATTGACTTGAGAGTAAAAAAGATTTCCGATAAAAGAAGGAAAAAAATCTTTATAATTTTCTATGTACGTCAATATCAAACAGCCTAAACAAAATTTCCCCTCCATTTTTTCTGATAAAAAAATTCAATAATTCAATTTGTTCAATACCATAATTTTAATATGATAGCAAAGATTGAAACAGAAGGCCTGTCAATGTAAAAACAGAACTCTGACCCTTACAGGTCCCAGCTCAACCTAGCTAAGGGTTCTGGGATATATATATCTTTCCCATCCAACTGGAGCATGCATACCTCACACTCTGAATGTGTATGCATGCACGCACACACGATGGGTGTGAGGGAGGCAGCTTACTTACATATAAGGCCCTGCATGTTTGTCGAACGTAACGGCCCCCGGGAGAATTATGATCCCATTCTAACCGTCCGTGCCAGAAATAGTCCAGTCTGAATTGAACATAGAGCATACAAACTGATTGAAGAAATAGTCCACTCAACTTATAGTCTATTAAATGTTACAGATTTACCTGCGACGTGAACAGAATATATTTGTACTACAAATGGAATAAATGTACAGAAGACACCTTGAAAGACTTTCATTCCAAAATCCCTGGAATAATCTTGAATCAAGATGCTTAAAACTGTTGGATCCCAACTAAAGGTGGCAGCACTATAGCCTTAGCAACAGCATCAGGGTGGGAGCACTATAGCCTTAGCAACAGCTTAAAGTACAAAACTACTTGGGTGATTATGTTTCAAGGTACCCAATGTTAAGAGCTTTCTATCTATAACATGCCTTTGCCTTTTCAATTTGGCTGAAACTTGCACTGAATTGGAAAAAAGCTAGTAATCGAAGTATTAAATAAATGAAACTTAAACCTTTTCAAATGAAACATACTATGGGTGCAAAATGACAAACAACAGAAAAATTAAGTATTTTCCTTTTCAACCTTCCACATATATATATATGTATTTATGCTGTTAAATATCGAATGCTTCTATCAAGTTAACAAAACCACCAAAGGTCATTCAATGTAACAGATTAGCCGCTAAAAAAAAAAAAAAAAAGTTCAGAGCTGCAAAAAGCACAAGAGAAGCCCGTTTAAACATCAACTAATTGACAATCTTTTTTTTTCAATCTGCTGTAAGTCATTAAAGCATAACTGATATAGTAAAAAGCACAACCAAATCTTCATTGATGCAGCTTATTATATAAGTGTGCTCTAATGCAAGTTATTTGGCAATGCCCATTTATATTACTCCCTGTGCACAGGTTTTATCATACCCCCTCCCTACTCCCAAGAGAAAAAAAAATCTTCTATTATTTCCCAGTCCCCCCAGTCCCACTCACGGGAAATCCCTGTCCAACAAGCATGCAGGTCCTTTCAAATTCAAAACTTAACCAATTTATTATTATATAAAAGATTATATAAAATTTACTTTTATTACAGGATTTACAATGTTATAACTAAAATGACACTTCCACTCCAGAAGTTAAATAAAAGAGGATGGTGGAATTTGGTCATTTTTCATCATTTTTTTTTTTTTTGTGCGATGACAATAATAAAATAATAACCGTTTCAAAGTCTAAATCTGTTTTTCACACCAGGTACAACTTTTAACAGATCTTGATAACATGGCATGCCTCAAAGATAGGAAAAATATGATTTGCTCTTAAGTCATAGCATTGTAAATCCAGATAAAGAGTCAAGAAAATGCTTATGCACAGTATCTCATATAGAATTTTAAAAATCTACTATTAAGACATGGCAATGAATCTGAAATAGGTGTCTGAGAGAATATTTCTTTAAAATCTCCAAATTTAAACCAATAAGCCCAACACAACAAAACAAAACATTTGCCACACAAAGTTCCTTTTCTCGTTAAGCTTGTTATGATCCCAAACATTGTTAACGGCTGAAGAATTAATAGAACATCTTGAAACAATGTGACTGGAGAACAAATGCAGTATTAGTCGGACAAAAAATATCAGAGGTCACATTCAAACGTAACCATTACAAACAGTCAATGAACACTGGCTGTCCAAAAGCTCACAAAGTTCAAAGCAAAACAAAAGCAGAGGTAAATGAAGCAACAAAATATCACTTATGAAATATGTGTTAAAGGAAGCATCAGAAATATAAGACGAAAAACAATTTTTTGCCAGTTTTTTTTTTCAATAATTTGTCTGTATTTTTGTCAGTTGTTCATTTAACCCATAAGCAATCAGTCCAAAAGTTAGCTAGCCTGTTTGTCAGTCCATCAGTTAACACCTCTGTCTATTGGTGCCAGTCTAAAAGTTAGCCAGCCTGTCTGTTAGTTAGTTGGCTAGTCAATTAAATGTTCAGTTCACCCCGAAAGATGGCATCTGGCAAAACAATGTAATAACAGTGCTAAAAAATTCCCGAAGTTAGAAAAAAAAACTATCACTGTAACCAACAAAACAAAGCTGTCTCTGTTTGAGTGTAAAAAAAGTCCTGTTTTTTCAACCCAGTGCCTTTGTCCCAAGAGCTGCCAACACTTACTTTGTCTTCTTGGTCATTCTGTAGGGCAAGGAACCCAGTATCCTCTCCATCATTGCTAAATGCTCTCTGTTGTCATGTGTCTGGAATTGTAAATAAATAAATAAATAAATAAATAAATTAAGATTTTGTTGTGATCCGAAAGTTTCTTTTTTATCAAACAGAGCTGCAGATTTCGAAATATTTCGTAAAAATACACATCCATTATCCAATATTACTAAAACAGACTGGCCCAAATAAATAAATGTACCAAATGCACTTCACACAGAATAAATTAACCACAAGGCACAACTAACACAATCATAAGACACAACTTACACAATCAACAAGCACCACTAGCACAATCTCACCTGGAATAGTGTAAACCCTGTGTACAGCTCAAAGAGAATGCAGCCTATACTCCACACATCACAAGGTTGAGACCAGCCAAGTTCTGGAAGGGGAAGTGGATTATATTTATATATACAAATATATGACATGACAAGGCAGCAAAGCTGTCAAATGCACAGACAAAAAGCAGAAAGTAATAATGCACAGAAAGGCTTTTGTTAAGTCAGATATATTACATGAAGATCTTTATCTTGTATACTTCATTAGAAAAAATTTGTCAGTTTAAAATTATAAACACATTAAGGAATATATTCTAAATGTTAAAAATCAAGTTATCACTTAAGGAAATTGATCCTCTGCCCTTTATTTAAATGATAATAACAGAACAAATAAATAATAATAATAATAATAATAATAATAATAATAATAATATTAATAATATTAATAATAATAAAAATTGAGGATTGTAAAGTACAATTAAAAATAATATTATTTATTTTCTAGTTCAAAAATAAATTGCTGTAATAATTCTTCGCCAGTTAAATTTAA